CAGCCACCAGGACCTCCCCAGTGTTGTGTCCACTGCCTCCATCTTCTCCTCAGCCCCTTACGAATGCCATGCTTCCACTGCCACCACCTGCTGGACTTAGGCCAAGAATTTGGTGGATGACCAGCGGCCCCGTACACAAGCAGCTATTCCTCTGCAAGGAAGCCCAGGTGCTCTTCACGGGCTGCACACTGCCTTCTTTTCCCCATCTCTAAAACGTAGAGAAGCACCTCTTACCTCTTGGCCTCCCTAGAAACAGAAAGCCAGGGACATCTACCCCAGAGCGTGGAGGGTTGGGGAGAATGTGAGGGGTGGTGAGATGGTTGGCAGGGGAAGGAACTCCCTTGCCACAGGGCAAACAGGAAAGTGAGACCTGGGAAATGGGAGACTGACCCCAAGTTCTAATGGAGAGCTGACAGGAGGAGGTCCCAACACCTTGCCACCTGGGATAGGGGCTGGTGCTACCCCAGTCCTGCTCCTTTGCACATTTCTCCTGATTGCAGGGCAGAGAGGCATGTGTCCATTTCCAGCAGGAGAGTAGTGGTTTACTACCTGGCCTCTGGAAAAATTGGGAACCCCCGCCTCAAGGGCCACATCATGGCCTACGTAGCCACCTTTCCTCCCTTTATTTATGTGGCCCCTGACTCCTGGCCTTGGCTCTGCTGTGCCCTTGGCCCTCTTGCTGAGTGGGGAGCCAGAGCCAGTGTTAGAAAGGAACCACCCTCTATTTCATGCAGCGGGGCCTGCCCTCCACCCTATCAGGCATTCACACCCAGGAGCTGAGAGGCCTTAATGGCCAAAACAGCATCCATCCTGCATGCCCTGGTTTGCTTCCATTGTAGGAAGCCAGACCCAGGGTCTGTGCCAAGGAGTTCCACCCTCAGAGTGGGCTGACATTTTAGCCACTCTCACGAGACTTCGCTCCTCCAACACCACTCCCTCCCCTGCACCTCTATTCCTTCTGCTTTGAACCTTACAGATTCTGAAAAGAAATGTTCTACCAAGTTATAGATGGAAAGAGGTTGTCCCCACATTCCCCCCCTATCGCCCCTCCTGCCTTCCCCTCTGCCAGCCCCACTACTCCCAGCTACTTCCTGGGGAGACTCAAAGGTCATCACAGACAGCAACATGCATCACCCCTACAATCTCAGTTCCCCCATCTACTCTTCCTCTCACCCCACTGCTTTCAGAGACCTTGGGCAAACCATTTCTCATCTCTTCAGTGATGGAAGATCCTTGGCTTCCCAGCTTCTGGGGAGATCAGATGGTGGTTACCTCCAAGTAGCTCATTCAGAGCCATGTAACACCTGTGCATGTAGACGACCAGATGCAGGGTTCTAATGCTTCTCCAAGGCTTTGAATCCCCCTCTTGAGCCCACTCACAATGGAAGAGCACAGCCCCATGGTGGGCTGGAACAGTGGATTCAGTTTTCCTGACATCCTGTCACGGAGGGACCCTCTGAGTACATTGTTTCTCATGGAGGTCAGTACAGATGCTATGAACACAATGGGCATGTATTTTTTGCATCTAAAAGTGACAAAAAGTCATGGGGAATGCAGCCACCCACCCAGCATCACAGGCCTTTCTCCCCACTTCACACAGCCTGTTTCATCCTTCTGTCCCCAGTGCCTGCATGGCATTGGCATAAAGAGTAATGCACCCATGAAGAGCAGTCTTCTGGGAGCTAACTGCGCATTTAAAGAACTTCAAGTCACAAGCAAAGTCTTCTGGAGAAAACCAGCAAATGAAAGGAAGTCGCTAACATTTGCCTTGGGGAGTAGAACATCGCCTTTTCCTCAGAAAGGAAAGTGGATGCCTGGGCTTAGTGAATTTTCAAATAGACCAAAGAGCAAACCAGCAGGAGGGAATGGCTATCCATGTTAATACTCACAGTGGTAATAATAGTTACTTTTTATTGAGAACCTCATGAGATGTTCAACCTCAGGGGCACAGCCATGGAAGGATGGCTCAACCAGGTAATTTAGTGAAAGCTGGAGGCAACTTGGCTCCACTGGGAGCTCTCGGACTTTAAAATTAGGCAGTAGCCAGAATCAGAAACCAAAGAAATGGGGAAAGGGAGCATCAAGAAAATCAGATGACTCCTGGTTCCAAATGTAACTCCCAAGCATTTCCTTTTTTTTTTTTTTTTAATTTATTTATTTGAGAGAAAGAGAGAATGAGAGAGAACATGAGAGGAGAGAGGTCAGCAGGAGAAGCAGACTCCCTGTCAGGTAGGGAACCCAATGTGGGACTCGATCCCAGGACTCCAGGATTATGACCTGAGCGGAAGGCAGATACTTAATTCTGAGCCACCCAGGCACCCCTCCCAAACATTTCTTTATGAACATGGCCTGATGCATGGAGAGCGGGTCGCCAACTGGGCAGCATTGCAGGACTGTCCCCATGACTGGGTAGGCAGCAGGAAGATTAAAGCCAATTTCTACCTGCCTCCATGTCCATATGCCTAGAAGTGTTTATATCCAATCTTTTTGCACTGTTTTCAAGTTCACTCTAAACTTGTTTAGTCCAATGAGTAGATTTGTTATTGGGGAAACACTGTCCTGTGTAACTCAGTATCCTCTGAGATGACACCATACCATACCAAGGTACCAAAACAGATGTCCATTTATTTTATAAAATCCCAGAGGTAGCAAACAACAACAACAAAAAAAAAACTGTATGTTTTATATACTGTTTAATAAGGCAAGAAAATATATACTATTTTTATTGTTCACAAGACATAACTAAACCAAAAAAGTATTGGTGCTGAAAAGAGTGAGTTCCAATTCTGGAGCTGTCCTATGGGCGGCTGATTCAAGCGCACTGACAGCTCATCTCATGGCCTTGCCCCTGGTCACATGCTCTGGAACAGCAGCCCAGCCTCTCAGTCCGCGTCCTCAGGGAAGCAATGTGCCTCAGTGGGGCCGACCGCTCCTTCAGCCCCGTGGCCTGTGGGATGACAGATGTTCTACAGGACTTCTGAAACATAACCCTGTTCCTGTCCTCTGTCCCACTCACCATCCACAAGGCAACAGGAAAAGGGGATCTAAGTACATCACAGACAGTGAATCAAGGGATCAGGGTGGGAGGGACAGCAGAGAAAGGTCCTAATAGGTGTGTTCCAGACCAGGAATTAAAAATGAGAATGAGGGGCACCTGGTGGCTTGGTTGATGGAGCACGAGACTTGATCTTGGGGTTGTGAGTTCGAACCCCATGTTGGGTGTAGAGATTACTTAAAAATAAAACCTTTAAAAAAAATCAGGAGAATAAGTAATATGTTGAGGACTTAAATGTGTCAGGCCCCAGGTTAAGAACTTCAATATCCTTTGTCTCTTTCCATCTTCACAACAGCCCTGTGGGGAAGATCACTATTGTGGAGATATTATTATGGGGCTAATAATGGGTCTGTCATTATCTCCATTTCGCAGATGAGGAAACTGGGTCCCAGAAAGGTAAATAACTTTCCCGAGACTATTCAGCTGATAACTAGCGGAGCCAGGATTCAAACCCAGGATGATCTTGTCTCCAGTGCCCTTGATCCCTGACACTTAGCAGAGAAAGCAATGGGTAAGTTGGAAGCACACTGCTCCTGACGACTTAGAAGGCCTGACACATCAAACGAGCAGCACATCAGCACCCTTACAAGGCTGCTTCAGAGTCATGCTTTCAGGAGGCTGGGCATTTATTCCTGGGATGTCTCTGGGCTCAGACCCCTGTGGAACTGTCCCCATAGCTCATTATCACTTGGGGCCCAAAAGTGAGGCTCATGATCTCCCAACACTCTCCTCTAGCTCCGTTGAGTATTTCCCAGCCAGGCCCCTCTCCTCTTTCCCCAGACTTGGCCCTGAGTTCTACCACTTGTTTCCGATGCCCCCCGCAAAAGGATGAAGATGTGTCATGACCCTGGACACATAAGGAAATACATCATGGGCACTCTCTGAGGGCAGGTTCCTTGAGGAAAGCAGGCCCTCGTCACCATAGTAAGATCTCCCAGCTGGAGAATGGCCTTGAAGAACCACAGCACACACTCACATGTGTCAACCCGGGTCCCTATAAAGCCACACTTGCCATGATCTCTCCACTCTACACCCCACCATCGCACCCAGCTCGCCCCTTGGCTGGCAGCAGGCAGCCACGAGAATTAAATGAGGGCCAGCACAGGCCAGCTCCCATCCCCTCTTCCGATGCCCTCAGACCACCTATTCTCACTCAGCTGGATTCAGATCCTGAGGACACTGAACATACCAAACATTTAGGTAAGTATATTGGTTAAAACCTGAACATTGGTGCACAAGTATGTTACCATTTCAGATCTACATGCAGCCTTCTCCCAGGAATGCCACCCTCATATCCTTTGCTTTTCCTAGGATATTCACCCCCTGGTCCCTCCCACCTCACCTCAGGCTCAGACCACAGATACCCAACTCAGCAGCGGGAGCATCAGGGGCCAGGCCTAGTTCTACTTGTGGAGTGGGGTAAGTCACATGCACTCTGGACCTCTCAGGTTTCTCTCCCAGATTTGGAGGTGGAGATGACCTAGCGTGCTTTTCCCAAAATGTGTGGGCTGAGGGATACAAGAACCACAGCAGGCTCAGGGTTCTTTTGTATAATGCTCCACTGCCCAGCAACACCCCCAAGGCCCTGGCATGAGGTTTGGGAAATGCAGAAGAAGTGAGGAAGTGAAATCTGGCCTCCAACTGGCTTTGAAGCAGGGTTCTAGTAAGCTAGTTACATTTTCCCTGTAGTTTCCACAAGAAAATGCAAAGTAACTTTGCAATGAAAGTAAAAATGCAGAAAAAAACAAAAGGTATAAAGATTAAAAAGCAACATCATTACTCTGAGAAAACACAGAACGGACTAGGACTACTGCTAAAGTTATATAATGGCCCCTCTTTATCAAATAGGACCTTATTAGATTGAAGACCCAGTTACCACATAGTTACTATTCCCCCCAAATATTCAGTGCAGATTTAATAAAGACAAACTGCCTTGATGACTTACATAGAGAGGCTTCTAGAACTTCATCTGAAAACTTAAATGTGGGGAAGAGCAATGCCAGTTCTCGGCTGGCGTCCTCTCTGTCCTGGCTTCCGTGGACTGCGTTGAAGGGCATTTCTGTGCCGAACTGAGCACGGAGACTGCGAACATTGGCAAAATACACAAGTAACAATTGTTTCATTTGAAAAGAAACATTTTTGCTCTCTGGCAACATGGGCACCAGCAACCAGTTAGCCCCCTGCACTTCTGTGAAATGGCTTTTTCTGCGTTGGAAATGCCAAGAACAACAGCAAGGACAGTAGATGACATCTATTTCATGACGAAGGTGTGCTGGGCATGTTGCCAAGTACTTCACATACATGATCCCGTTTCATTTGTGCCACAGCTCTGTGAAGGACACTCTGTCACAGTTCTCAATTTAAATATGCGTGAGTCACAGTGTAGGCTCAAGAGCTGCCATTTTGTTGATCTTACTACCAGGGACGAACACCCTGACAAGAGCTTGATGTAGGTGTGCTTCGTTAATTCCTCAATAACCCCATAAGATAACACTAATACTGACAGGGCTTCCTTTGCATCAAGCACTGTTCCAAGCGTTTCATATACATATGTGTATATACACATACAGACTCACACACACGTGCGTACATATGCTCATTTAATCCTCACATCAATGTGTGAGTCATTGTAGTACGCATTTTTCAGATAAAGAAATTGAGGCACAGAGGGATTATTGTATGGCCCTAGGGAGTACTCTTAACAGCTCCCGGGATAGGTGTCATAACCCCATTTTACAGATGAGAACTGAGGCTCAGAAAAAGGACTTACTCGAGTATGTGGTTAGCTAGGATCTGAACCCTGGGCTGTCTTATTAGTCCCATGTATGAATGTTCCGGTCTCCTACAACTGCAAGGTACAACTGCAGTTACTTAGTCTCTTGCTCGTTTCTTTTCTGGTCACTGGGGCTCTCTCAGCTTCAAAGGCAAGGCACAGTGGGTTTGGCATTGATGCCAGGCTAAATATAGAGCCAAGGCAGCCTCGTGCAAAGTGCAGAACAAGGTGCTCAGAATCCAGGGGGCCTCAGAACACCCTGGATGGATCCTTAGGCTCTGCCCAGAGTCTCTGACTTAGCAGACTTTGGCAGGCCCTGTAATCCGTATTTCCTGGATGCGTGTTGCCTTTGTTTCTGGAACCACACTGTGGAACTCCCTAACTGTAGGACTGGATCAGAGAGTGAGGTTAGCAGGGTCTCCTCACATAGATAACAAAGAGGTCAGGGTCTCTCCAAATATATGTAATGGGGATTTGGGGCTGCATATAGAGCAAGGCTCTGGGCTTCTTTGGATGCAGGTTTTGAGACAAATGAAAAGACCGCAGCGGGTGACATCACCTGTCAGGCTGCTCCCTCCTTGCTACATTAGGGTCACAGGGCCCCATGAGTGTTCGCCAGGCAGTGATCACGTCCTCAGTGCCCTCAGGCCTGGTGAGGATCAGGAGGTGGCTCGGTCCACTGCACATGTGATGAACCAGCTTCTCAAATGCCTCCTAGCACAGGGAGAGGAAACAGTGACCCAGGGCAGGGGTCCTGGGGTCTATAGTGGGTCAGTGGGCCCATAGCACCTGCAGGAAGGGAGGGGGTCAGTGAGCAGCCTTGCTACCAGCCACCATGCCCATGGAGGGCCCATGGGAAGGGTGGTGGTGACCAGCAACACACAGAGAACCCAGACAAAGTCAAAACCAGGAAAATGAGACTTGGATTTTATTTGTTTGGAGTTGAATGAGAGACTATAACAAGTTAAGTAGGGACATGTGTGTGGAAATCATGTGGATGCTAGATAACCATGGGGTGCCATGTAGCTAAGACTTATTTTTTGAAATGCCTTACAACTCTTCCCCCTGCTTCAAGTAGCAGTTTTCCTTTGGGGAGAGCCCTTCCCCGGTTCACTTGGCCTAGTCTGGCTGACAATGGTGATGCCTCTCCACCCCCTCCACTGCCGCTAAACACACACCTCAGCTGAAAGGTGGGGCTACGAACAAGCGGGGTCCATTAGGCCTCCATCCCAAGTATCCCAAGTAGGGGAGGCAGAAGCAGAAGTGAGTGGAAAGTGATTGAATCTGAGTAGTCCAACAGCAGCACATAAAGTGACTGTTCATAGGATTCTGCTCTTAAGCTCCCTACAACTCTCTTGGTTCTTCTCCCCAGCACCTTCTTGTTCAGCTCCTTCAACTCTCTTCAGTTCTGGGACCTATGGAGTTTCCTCCAAGAAATTCTTCACGTCATCACTTAAGTTAGAATCAAAATCTCTTCCTTGCAGCCAAAGAACTTTTTACCTGACACACACTATAATCTTTACTCTAAGAGCAAATCATGGCCTTCTGGCTGTTCATATTCTTGTTCTTCCTAATACTCTATTTTCTCCCAAACTAACATCAATCTATAAACATAATGTTGGGGAAAGAGAAAGATATGAGAGTGTGTTGGACATGTAGAAATAAAGGAGCTGACCTCTCCAGCTTTGTGCTGATAGAAAAGCTGCATTTCTGCTTCTGTCATGGTTCTCTCTTCATTTGCTAAAATGTCAAAACCGGCTTCATGGATCTGTAATGGGAAAGGGAAAATCAAGCCCAAATTCACATTTAAATGTGCTGAAAAGTAAAAGATAATGGGAAAGGGAACATTAAAGGCAGCGAAGACCCTCATCCTCATCGTGTCTGTCCCAGACAGCTATAGAATGTGTCATTGACTTGGGGTGCCTGGGTGGCTCAGTGGGTTAAGCCTCTGCCTCTGCCTTCGGCTCAGGTCGTGATCTCAGCGTCCTGGGATCAAGCCCCGCATCGGGCTCTCCTCTCAGTGGGGAGCCTGCTTCCCTCTCTCTCTCCCTGCCTCTCTGCCTACTTGTGATCTCTCTGTCAAATAAATAAAATCTTAAAAAAAAAAATGTGTCATTGACTTAACTGGCATTTTGGTTGGAGCTTCTCTGTGGCCTTCTTTTCCACTAGTACACTGTTGTTCGATGTCCCGCCCCTGCTTTTCCACCAGAGGAGACATGAGGGCAGTCTGTCCAGGAAGCCTGGTCTTTCTTACCTTCATAATAATCTCATCAGTCTTTCCATGGACCACTGCGTCTGGCTTAATGATGGCCAAGGTGCAGATCGTCCCTGATGAAGCTACAAGAAGCAGACGATGGTGCTGTCAGACTTTGGGCTCCCAGCACCCATCTTTGAGGCTCTCAGGGGGTATCCACAGGGACCATGCAGCCTCTGCACACAGCTCCCGGGGCTCCCCTGCTGGCCTCTGGGCTGTGCCCCTGCACACTTGGACTCTAGTCGAGGCGTGGATCAGGCTACAGACCTCACCCTCCACCTGGCTCCAAGGGACGGAGAGAGGCAAGGGACTTGAACCTGGGAGAAGAGGGGTGAGGTGGAGATGGGGAGGGAAAAAGGGAAGGGAGAGCAGGGAGGAGATCATAGACCAACCACTCAGGAGCAGAAGCCCAGCAACAACTGAAAGAGTTGGCTTGGAGTTGGGGAGCACTGGAGCAGAGGCAACATGGGCCTGACCTCACTTGTGCCTTCCTGTCACCTCCCCTGATTTGGAGCCTCTAAGTGCTGTCTACTGTGTTCTCCTCTCACTCCTCTGGCTACTTCGCCAGAGCTTCTTTTTAACTTTCCTGGCATATGGGCAGTGAAGACTGCCCCAGGCCCTGAGTCTCTATGACTCTTCAGCACCAGCACATTCTGCCAAACTGCAACGACCATCTTCTCTGTCAACACAAATTCTCCTGAGAGAAGACCAGGTTGGCTGGCTCGTTGTTTGGAGCCAAGGTATCAGTCATAGCTCCCTGAACAGTGTCCTGATGGTTGTCTTTTGGTCAGTGTCCATAGGCCCTGCGGAGGTGGTGTGTGAGTACAGTTCCTGTTCAGGCCTGTAGGGGGCTCGGTGTCCAGTCCATAAGCCCATCCCTGCTGTACTCCTGTTTGTATCAGCTTGGCTTTGGTGAGCTCCCTGTCCTCTCCACAGACTCTGTATCCCCCATAGCCTACTTTCTGTTCTCAACCTTTGTATCAGTTGTGTGGCAATGAAACATGACATCTGCATTTGAGGAGAGATTCCTACTCTGAAAATCTCAAAAACATGGGTACTGCAAAAATGTGAATCATTTTAAGCAACAGATTATCCATTTTTCTATTTTATTTCTAACATCCCATGAATACTTAGTCTTTAAGGGACTCGTAAAATGAAATCCCTTATACGATGACCCGTTAATGAGATCCTCTAGAGACACAGGGTGAGAAGAGAGGAGGCCAGATCAGGGCCTGGAAAATTCCAGCTTGAAAGGGGAGCAAATGAGAAAAGGTCAATGAAGGGGAGGCTGCAGAGAGGCCAGAGACGTAGAAGGAAAATGAGAAAGAGACGAGGGTTTAGAGAAAGAAGGTACAGTCGACATCATCCAAGTCCTCAGAAAGAGGCTGTAGGATATGACTGGACACTGTGTGTTGGGTTTGGCACCAAGGAGGTCAGCAGTGCCCCATGAGCACCAGAGAACAGGTCGGGCAGGAGCCAAAGGTGAGGGGTACCCAAGGATTGGGGAGCTCAGGAAGCTCAGGCGTGGAGGAGAGGAAGGCCAAGGGCAAGAGCAGATTTTATGTTATTTTCTAGGTGGAGAGATTCGATTTGAGAGGAGGGAAAAGGAGATCATCCAAAAAAGGCAGTAACAACTGTTTATTGCAGAAGCCAAAACACTGATTTTTTTCACACAAAGTTTTTTTGCTCTCCAAACTGTGCCACTTTCCTTGTTAGAATCCCAACTCAAACAGCCTCCATTATCTACACATGAACAAGCAGCCTTTCTGGTTCACGCAATAATAAAAATCTTCCTTCTCCTTCCAACTCAGTTCCTGAACTTAATGCTGATTTCCCCTGGCATCTCAGTTACTGTCACAAGCCACCTTCTAACTTCTGGTTTCCCTGCTGTCAGGTCAAGTTGTTCTTCTCATAGTAAAGTTCAGGAATAACTATGATGCCCAGGACTCCTGACTTTTGGACCCTTCAGGAAAAGGTAAAGAAAAGAAATGAGCAATTTAACTCAAACAAAGACCCAGGAAACACCAGCATCATTACTTGAAATTCTATCTTCCTTTTTATTAGGTGGGGCTTTTCCTGATGCCGGGTTATTGCCTTAAAAGTCATACCTGTTACAGTTGAGCATGATCGGAAAGCTGTGAAAGGTACCTATGATGGCAAGAAAGGGCAGAAGGGAGATTTGACACAGTATGTTTGAAGTCAGGTGATTGGAAACAGAATGTTTTGGGGTTAATCTTCCCAGAGTTCCGATTGCCCACATCACTGATTGTCTTTTGCTTCTAGCCTTTGCTTCTCACCTTGCTGAGTGGTTCTGCACTCACCCATGTCCTCGTCGTCACCAATGTCCTTGTCGTGGGAGAGACATCCATCTTCATCAGACAGAGCCTCATCTCTAATCTAGAGCAACAAATAGGTCACAAACAGAAAGTAGTTAGCTAATTAAAATTACCACAATGGCCTCCAGAAACTGACAGAAGCAAAAAAAAAAAAAAAAAAAAAAAAAAAAAGCAAAGGCCTGAAATGCAGAACCAAGAAAAGGGAGTCAAGACCATCAGCCTTGGAAACTTTACAAGACCCTTTTTAGTAGCCAGATGACTGTGGGGGTGAGGGCGTTCGAAGACAAGGAAATCCATGCTGACTTTAAGGTTTAGATTCAGCGCATTTCCACAAGCGTCAAGTAGAAAAGATGAAGTAGGGAGTCGGCCAGAAGACACACAGGGAGATCCTTAGCTACTGGCTCCCCTGGGCATGTTAGTCATGAAGACAGATATCATCTCCCCCTGGAGGGGGCACAAGCACGTGTAATTTTCAGCAAAAAATATAATTGATTCTAATCCGTTCTATAAAAACAGGGCTTTACTATTTGAAAGTGAGTATGAAAACTTGGACAGTGAACACTGAACAACTTTAAGGCTCGTTGGACAGAAACTCAAAGCACCAGGAAATGCCTCTATCTGACGCTGGTGTCAGTGTTTAATGGCAGCCAAGTTTCTGTGAGAAACTGAGAGACTGTGCTGTCATGGAAACAATTTATCAAAATCACAAGCCATGCTGATCCTATTGCTCATGTGAATGACAGCTTAATTTCTAAATTAAATAATCCCTTGGGGATCGCAAGTAAACTTTCAGGTATGGGAGGCAAGGGCAGGTCACCAGGAGAGGGCTCACCTCTACCTACTACTCTACTCCATAACTTTATTTCCATTTCTGAACTCACTGTCAGGGGTCCAGAAAACCCGGTTAAGAATTGAAGTGGGGGGGCACCTGGGTGGCTCCGTGGGTTAGGCCTCTGCCTTCAGCTCAGGTCATGATCCCAGGGTCCTGGGATCGAGTCCCACATCAGGCTCTCTGCTTGGCGGGGAGCCTGCTTCCCCTCTCTCTCTGCCTATCTCTCTGCCTACTTGTGATCTCTCTCTCTCTCTTTCAAATAAATAAAAATCTTTAAAAAAAAAAAAAAGAATTGAAGTGGGGGATGAATGAGAAATGGATAAAAGAAGTTCAAGTGCTCTGGATGAAGGGGGTGACTTTTTAAAAGAAGTTTTTAAAATGCATGTTGGGGGACCTGGGTGGCTCAGTTGGTTAAGTGTCTACCTTCAGCTCTGGTCCTGATCCTGGGATCATAGGATCCAGCCCCGCATATGCCTCCCTGCTCAGTGGGGAGTTTGTTTTTCCCCTCTCTCTGTGTCCCTCTCCCCGCTCTCTCTCTCTCTGTCAAATAAATAAATAAAATCCAAAATAAAATAATAAAATAAGATAAAATGCATGTATACCCTAGTGGGCACTGCCTCCCCCTGAGCCTTCAGGGACCCCAGGGTGGGCATTTAATGACACATGTCACTGAGCACTCCAGGAAAATTCGTGGCGCAGGGAGACACTGAGTTCACTTCTGGCAGGAGGGCTCCTTACCACTTTGCGCTCACAGCCTTCGGCTAGAACTTTCTTTTCAGCCTCCAGCTGCTCTCGGATGGTTTTCTGCAGCAGTGGGACATTGGCGCCTCTAACCACGGCCACCAGCTCTCCACCCTAGAACAGAGAACACACGTGCCACCCAAACCACCTAAACTTGTCTTCACAGATCTTCATCTCTTTCAAGAGACAGCGAGTGTCCAAGCGCTCTGCTTAGGCGCGTGCCCAAGGTCGAGGCCTCCATCCACTTCTCTGCCATCTCCCCCATGCCTCTCCTTTCAGAACTGTCTTCAGGGAAACAGGGAATTGGTTAAGGGAGGAGCAGGGCAACAAGGCTGTGAGTGACTAAGGGTGGCCTAGTTGTGGCTCGTCCACTCAACAGGTACCTATTGAGCACTTACTTGGCCAAGCGCCAAGACAGAGGCAAAGCATATGTATGAACAGTCCGTGTGAAAAGCCATAGTTGCCTGCTTCAGGGAACGGGAAGTCAAGTGGGGAGCGGTGGTCATATCAAAGAAACAATCACCACAGAATAAGATCATTGCTTGAAGAGGGGGAATGTACAGGATGCTTGGCATTCAGGGCAAGAATGGATTCCCAGCTCCATATGGGGTGGTCAGAGGAAGCTTTGTTCACCATCACATCAAGGTGGTGTTTGGGGTGACTGAGTCTCCTTCTTTAACCTTTTTGACAGTCAATCTATGCCTATTACTCACAGAAATTGGTGGAGAGCAGGCCCTCCCCATTCCCATCCTGCCCCACAGAGGAGAGGCTGTGATGGAGCCCACCACCTTGGCACCTGCCCCCACACAGCCCCGGTATGATTCATGCCCTCATCACCACAGGCGCAAGCAAGCGAACCCCTGTGCCAGCGATCGCATTTCCCTGCCTGTGCTCTGCTGTCACTGTGGCCCCTTCCTATTCCTCCCTCCGTCCTCCCCTGTGTTTCAGCATCTAACTCCAGTCTTCCATCACGAATCAACACCCAGATAATGTTCGCCACAAGCCTCCAGTTTCTGAAACTTGTGGTGCCGAGGGCAGGAATCTGAAGGTCTCCAAACTCAGCAACCCTGGCCTGGCTGTCAGGAGAGGTGGATGGGTAGGCCTCAGTTTCCCCTGACTGTACGAGGAGGGGGCGGCAGTCAGGAGGAGCATATCGGGCACTTGCCTTTAGGGCCTGGCAGGTAACCTAAGCTACGAAGCCAGGAGTGAGGCAGTGGGCCCTGAGGGGCATGGGGCCAGAGCATGGATGTCACTCCCAAAGACATCCAAATTCTCTTCCAAAACATGGAATGACTTGGCTTTCATTTCTGAATGTCTGGAAGCATATCTTCACATCTTATGATTCAATAAAAATGAACACGGAGCTTGTCTACTCCATTAGAGTGTGTGTGCTGAAAGCTTCCTTCTATGGCAGAGGAAATCTTGAAAACCTTGCTCTCTGATCGTGAAACATCAGTTAAGCGTGCGCATGAGCCAGAAGGAGCAGACGCATTTGAGTGACTCCCATTCTCTCACATGTATAGCCGGGGCCAGGAAGGCTGCGGGCCCAGAGGGACCATCAGGAGCTGCGTCGTGCCAGGCCTCCCTGCCAGTGAGCTCTGCCATCATGTTAGGCAGGCACCTGCATCACCATGATGTAAGCATGCCTCTTCCTACCCCAAATAACAAATGCAGTTAAGGAGAAAGCAGTTTCTCATTTGGATCAGTGAAGCCTCTTGGTGACTTTCAGTGAGATGGAACCCTGATGATCTATAATGTGTTTCTGGTTCTGCAGATGTACTTACTGCATAAAACAGAAAGGTCGGCTCACACTTCCCACGGTATTTTTCAAGGACTTCAAGACAATCTGCTTCTGCCTAAAGAAAACAAGCTGTCAGGGGAGACCTGGGGTGCCAGGAACACAGGGGCATGCTGGTGGGAGAACCACACGGGACAATACACACACAGACACAAACCCCTTATATACACATGTAGACGCCATAAACACACAGCACACACGCACACACACCCATGTGTATATACTCACACATATCCCTCTTACACACACCTCGCCCCATGCACGGACACACTCACAGCCACACTGTGACTGTCCGCCCCAGAGGATGCCCTGGCAGGCTCTCATGCCTTGCCCCCTAATGTCTTTTCATCAGAATAACTCTCCTGTGGACATAACTGGTAAAAATTGTTGGCAGGGGGCTTTTTGGAAGAATAAGACAAGGTGGAAACAAGGTTCCTCCTGCTCCCCAGCCAGCTGCTGCTCTGTGTGCCACCTTGCTGCCGCCAAGACCGACAACCACAGAGGGGGAAGGTCCTCAGACTTTGCCTTCCGAGCCTGAGAAAGCCTGTACGGGGACAGGCATTCCCACCGCACACTTTCCCCAGAGGTATCAGAACTGACGCCCTGTGAAGAAAGTGCCGAGTCCTTGAGAGGTGAGCGCAAGTGTCTTTTCTCCTGTGTTCTCCTAGAACCTCTAATCCGAGTGTCTCTCACATGCTTCTCTGGAATTTATTCCCATTTCCATACATTGATCCAAGTAAACATTGGCTAGAAGCTCCCCATGCTAGAGCACGATATGCTAGAAGCAGAGCATAAAACTCTTGGAACTGTATGCTCTGAGAGTAAGACTTCAGAGTTCCCAGGGTTCATGAGCCAGAAGCCATGGCATGCTCACGTGTGGGGTGACACACACCCCTTCCCTGTGCACAGGGTCAAGAGATGCCTGAACTCACAGTGACTGTCAGGCGGGTGGGGGTGGGGTAGGAATCCTTCATCATGGAAGAAACTATAAAGCTTCATAACTGATGACCAAAAATTTCACAACTGATGCCTTTTCAATGATCTGGAAAGGGCAGCTCACATTTCCTGTCCCCGCTTTTAAATGTTTAATTATTTTACAGTGTTGCATGGCATTCTGCTGAGTGAGGAACTTACTAATGCAAAATGCAGAAGGTCCAGGCCGGCCTCGATCCTCATCTTCTGGAAGAGGCTCACCATGGGTTTGCAGGGCCCACACCAGCCTTGATAGACATCGACAACTGTGTGCATCCAAGAAGCAGGAACATTTAGTGAGGACCAGCACTCTCCAGGTCAGGTAAAACTTACCCCTGCAAACTTGAACCCCCTCCAGGCACACGTCTGTTTGCAGGGTTATTCAATGGCTCACGGGGTTTATTCTCCCCTTGGAGTGGGAGCCAGCACGGAGACACAGCCGCCCCTCATGCTTACAACTCAATGTTCTTAACTCTACACATAATGAAGTAAGTGTGGTAGGAAACAGTTTTCTCTACAGGGATCCTTTCCCTGTGGTGATTTTCAGGCTACCATCATGGTTGGGCTGGCACAGAGTGGCCCTCAATAAATATTTGAATTGTACTAAAATGATCTATTCTAAAAGAGGTCACTATAGGCGGCCTGTCAGCCTACAGTCAACTCTTAGCTGCTTTGATGATAAGCACAGTTTTGACATTTTCCCCTGAAGAATTAAATGCCACTTCTTTGGATAAAGGAGAGTTTTATTTACTTTATAAAATCAATGTCGTTCTCCTGAAAAGTATACCTGCTAGAGACCTAGATGGAAACTCGGATAATTTTTTCTTTGTCAGTCGCAGTCTATGGAGTGTGCCAGGGCGTGAGGGAACCCTCTGGTCTGATTGCACGAGGCCACAGGGCCTGTGAGAAAGCTAAGCAAAGCCAACACATGGGTACCAGACACACGCAGGACGTACCCAGCCCCATCATGATGACGTAGCTGGTGCTAGATTGTGTGAAGTTCAAAGACGTGAAGTAAGTAACCCAAGGTACAAAAGAAAAGAAAAAACAATTGAATTCTCAAGCGGTAGAACCTAGCTTTGATCCCAGGTTCGTCTGAGTGCATGCTGTTTCAACTACTCCAGGAAAGAAGTGAGATGTGTGGGTTCAGGTGTGCTGGTTAGCTTCAGCCAGGCAGCGCAGTTTTGCAGGGAGAAATTGAGAACCAAGTGGGGTATGGGAGGCATGGGGAAGCCAGGCACAGGGGGGCAGTGCAGGCGGGAGGGGAGGAAGGGAGGAATCCACAGACTTTGAAAGGGAAAGACAGGTGAGGAAAGTCATGTGGGTATGGAAAAGACTCCACCTAGGAGCCTGGCAGAGGAAAAGAACAGGGTGGTGGCAGGGAGAGATCATTTGGTGGCAGGAAGGAGAAATGTCAAATGGATTCTAGATCGCTGGGTTTCTAGTACAAACAAGAAAATCTAAGGCCAGTGGTCTCAAAGGTAGCCAGGCACCAGCAGAGATGGAGGCAGACTTGGGCCTCCTGAGCACCCACATGGAAGCTAAAGCTCTGGGCTTCTCTGAGGACAACAGCATCACACTTGAGAGGTCTAGGGATTTCAATACACCATAGTAATGGGGGAAGAAATCATTTGGGTCAAGCCAGGAAAAAATCTTTGGAGACTTAGAGAGCCTGTGTTTGGGCCCACCAACGAAAGCATGTTCACACCCCACTGGGGAAAAAAATGGGGTCCCATTAGCTCACCAATCTCTCTGCAGGATTTGCACCCTTAGTTCAGCTTCCCATCTCCCCTCATAGTCCTTGGCTGTCTTAGCAGTGGTGGGGCAAAGGCATACTTCACAAGGTTATGGGGCAGAGAGCAGGACTAGAGAGGAAGTCTATCAAGAGTTTGAAAGACAGGAAGCAAAACAGAGAAGACATCTGGGAGGAAAGACATGGCAGAGAAAATGAAAAGGCATGTGTGTGCATGCATGTAAATCTGAATTGACTTGCCTATTTGAAGGCAAGGGAAAATGAGCCCGGAGAAGGTGAGACTTCCAAGATGGTGGTTTACTTTGGAAGCACATGTCTGCTGGCTCTAGAAAGAAGGAAGAGCATAGCTTCCTCGAGACTGTACGATAAGAAGGGAAGGACGAGCCCCTGCTGCCCCCAGAAGATGCAATTCCCTGGCATGCTTAGAGCAGGGCTTGACAGAGTCCACACCCAGCAGATGTCAGCTGTGATCACCTAGGGTGCCTGGGACACAGCAAATTCTCAAAATGGGATGAAGTGATAGTTTTCTTACTGTCGTTAAAGAAACAGAAGTAATGGTTGTTTTGCCCTACATCCATGCTCCAGCTGCACCCACGAGACATGCAGACAAAATAGTTGAGACCTGGCACCATCAAAAAAGCTGTGTAATCCCTTAGGTAGTTGAATGTGGCAAGACTCCCACCCACGCTGCCAAATCAGTGCGACCTGCACTCTGTCCCAGGCCTGGGCAAGTCTGCTGGAGACGGAGAGGAAAAAGACAATGCCCCTGTGTTTAGAGTTTGGGGGAAAGCCGTGACTGCTCCCCGAGACAGGGGCCACACCAAGCTGGGTGTGTGCTGGGCGGAGAGGGGGAGACAGAGCCCCACCCCAAATGCCCAGGTGACTCCCAGGGGGAAGTGACCGCACAGAGATTCTGGAAAGACTTCATGCAAGGAGGCTGCTGCTTTGGAGCTGGGCTTGGAGGTCATGATATTCCAGGGAGCAGGGACAGCATGGATAAAAGTAAAAAAGTGGGGAAACTTGTGGCATGTTCAGGAAACTGAACTGGAGCTCAGCACATATCTCCGGGAACAGTGGGGGAAGGGGCTGGAAAAGACAAACTGAGTCATGGGGGAGGAGAGGGGTAGGGGCCTCGAAGGCTGAAGTCCCTCAGTGCAGGTGGCACTGGAGAGAGATAAGAGCAGACACAAGCTTGCCGAGCAGATGTATAGGGAGAAGAACTGAGCAGATACAGAGAGAGAAAGGGAGCCCAGAGATACTCATGGTCAATGAAGATGAGAAAGGAACAGTAGCGGCAGATGTGACTGGCAGCCTCTAAGATGGGGGAGTCCTGTCTCCTGGGAGGTAACCCCTTGCCCTTGAGTGCAGGCCAGGCCTAGTGACCGGCTTCTTTTTTTTTTTTTTTTTTAACATTTTTTTTTTTTTAAAGATTTTATTTATTTATTTGACAGAGAGAGATCACAAGTAGACAGAGAGGCAGGCAGAGAGAGGGAGGGAAGCAGGCTCCCTGCCAAGCAGAGAGCCCGATGCGGGGCTCGATCCCAGGACCCTGAGATCCTGACCCGAGCCGAAGGCAGCGGCTTAACCCACTGAGCCACCCAGGCGCCCCAAGAAATCATATAGTGACCGGCTTCTAACAAACAGAGTAGGGCAAAGCGATGGGACATCACTGTTGAAATTCAGTTACAGAAAGATTCTGACTTACGTATGTCTCTCCCTCCCCTGAACCCCTTCCTCAGGGTGAAGAAAGTTACTGTGTTGTAAGTAGGTTTGTGGGGAAATTGATAGCAAGAATTTGATGTCTCTGGCCAATAACCAGCAGAGCCCGGAGTCCTGCCAACAGTCACAGGAACAAAGTTGGAAATGACCTTCTAAGATCTGTCAGAGCCACATGACCAAGCTTAGAAGCAAACTGAACTTTAGTTGAGCTTTGACATTCCCTGTTTTACTTCTTAATCACAGCCTGGTGAGAGACCCCAAACCAGAGATACCTCAAACCAAAGGCAATGCAACACCTGGATTCCAGACCCACAGAAACTGTGGGATAATAAATGCTCATTTTGGGGGTACCTGGATGGCTCAGCTAGTTAAGCGTCTGCCTTTGGCTCAGGTCACGATCTCGGGATCCTGGAATCAGGCCCCCCCACATTGGGCTCCATGCTCAGCAGAGAATCACCTCCTCCCTCTCCTTCTGTGCTCTCTCACTCTCTCAAATAAATAAATAAAATCTTTTTAAAAATAAATATTAATTTTTTAAAAAACTACTAAGTAAATTGTGATAGATAACAAACAAGAGGATAGGGAGGAGGAGGCCCAGGGGACAGTGGCTATGCTGTATCCTAATAGCGGAGCAGTCCCTGGTTCCAGCCCCTTGGGAAGCCTGGCTCTCCTTCCAGCCCCTGAGTTCCAAGAGGTCCCCATATTCCTTCCGGTACATTCCCCTTTATGACTCAGGCAGTCAGAAGAGGTTTTCATTCCTTCACACCAAACAACCCTTGGGTCTAACAGTCAGCTCTGAGACAAGTGAGCCCTGTTGGCCAGCAGTCCTGATGGCTTTCCTGAACTGAACGTACTAACAGATGTGCAAGTTGGATATATCTACACACACAAAGAAAAGACTCGGCTCTTCATTTATGGAACTCAAGATTAGAGGAAAATGGTGCTCATTGCAGCTTTTCTCTTCCTGGTTCAATATACTGTGTAGAAATTTTGAAAAAGTTGGATCTAAAAACTTAAATTACCAGTTAGTCCTTTGGAACTGAGCATTTCCTCCCAAAGCTCCTGAGTGCTGATGTTAACCTAAGGTCAAAGAACAAAGGCTTTATTACTGAGGGCATGGATGGGGAAAGGATTTGATGTATTTGCTCCAGATACCTACCTACCTACCTACCTGCCTGCCTCTCGCTACCTCCCTTCCCTCTCTCTTTCCCTCTCTCCCCCCTTCCCTCCTTTTCTTCCTCCTCCCTCCCTCTCTGAAATACATACAAATACAGACTCAAGCTGTCTTCTTTCCCCAATCTGCCTTCTCCTCCTGTCTTTTCCTACCTCCAATCCACATGAATAACTAACCTAAGGAAATCTCAGTCATTTTTTTTAAATAAATTTTTCTTGTTGCTTGTGCAAAAATAAAAACATAAGATTGTTTTGGGTCCATAAAATGTACATAAATAATATCATACTATAGAGATCTTTTTGCCATTTTTGTTCTCACTCAAATCCAGTTTTGACATTTATCTAGATTCATATACAGAAAGGTATTCATTCATTTTTTTCTTTTGGTCTTCTTACATGTTCTAGAGAAACAATTTATGTACAGTGAAATACACAGAACTAAAGGGTTGCAGTTCACCGAGTTTTAGCAAATGCACACAACCCAGGTCACCACACTCCTCTCACAATACAGAACTTTTCCATCATCCCCGAAAGTTCTCTGTCTCGTCCCAGTCACACACACACACCCCCCACTGCTCCTCAACCCAGGTGGTCACTGATCTGCTTTGTAAAACTGCCTATAAATGGAATAGTACAACACCCATTATTTTGTGCTTGTTTCTTCCACTCAGTGTATGTTTGGAGAAGCATCTGTGTGACTGAGTGTCAGTAGTTTGTCCAGTTTTATTCCTGAGCATATTTCATTGAATGGCTGTATCGTAATTTGCTTGATAGATATTTAGGTCACTTCTAGTTTGGGGTTATTACAAATAACAACTTATGAACATTCTTTTTTCAAGATTTTATTTATTTGAGAGAGGCAGTGACAGAGATCGCAAGAGAGAGCAGAAGCCGAGTGGAGAAGGAGAAGCAGGCTCCCCACTGAGCAGGGAGCCCAATGCGGGGCTTAATCCATGGACCCCAGGATGGTGACCTGAGCCAAAGGCAGACGCTTAACAACTGAGCCACTCAGGTGCCCCAGTTATGAACATTCCTGTTAAATCCTTTTGTGCTCATATTCTCACTTATCTTCAGTAAGTAAATACTCTAGGAGGGGCATTGCTGGGACATAGGGTAAATGCGTGTTCAGTTTAATTAGAAACTGCCAGGCTTTTCCTAAAGCGGTTGTACCATTTTAAACCTTCATCAGCAAGGTATGAGAGTCCTGCTTGCTCCATTCTCAGCAAAATTTAGTAATGTTAGTCTTTTAGATTTTAGCTACACTAATGGTAATGTAGTGGGTATCTCATTGTGGCTATAATTTCATTTCCCTGATGACTAAGGCTGTTAAGCATTATTAATTATTAAATAATGCTTATTGTTAAAATTATTAAAAAGGTATTTATTATTAAAATAAGCACTATTTAGTGTGCTTATTAGCCATTTATATGTCTTCTGTGAGAAGTGACCATTGGTCTGTCCATTTTCTTTATTCGGTTGTTGGCCTTTTTTTTTTTAAAGATTTTATTTATTTATTTATTTGACAGAGAGAGAGAGAGAAAGAGAGAGAGAGATCACAAGTAGGCAGAGCAGCAGGCAGAGAGAGAGGGGGAAGCAGGCTCCCCGCTGAGCAGAGAGCCCGATGCGGGGCTCGATCCCAGGACCCTGAGATCACGACCTGAGCCGAAGGTAGAGGCTTAACCCACTGAGCCACCCAGGCACCTCAATTGTTGGCCTTTTTATTATTAGATTGTGTATATATATACATATAATCTAATAATATATATATTATATATCAATATACAATATTGATCAATATATAATATAAATCAATATATACAACCCAATAATATATTTTATATACATATATATATATATATCAGAAAGATGCTCTCCTCTGTTTTCTTCTAGAAGCTTTTTAATTTAAGCTTTCACATTTAAGTCCATGAGCTATCTGAAAATAATTTTTATCTATATTGTGCAAAAGGATTGAAGTTAATTTTATTTCCATGTAGAGGTACAGTTGTTTCTGCAAAACTTCTAGAAAGGATTTTTTTTTTCTCATTAAATTGCTGTGGCATCTTTGCTGAAATGAGTTTACTACATAAGCATGGGTTTATTTTGGACTCTATTCAGTTTCATTTTCTCTTCTTTTGCCAACACCATACTCTTTTAATTACTGTAACTTTATAATAAGCCTTGGAATCAGGCAGTGTGGGTCTTCCATATTTGTTTTTCTTTTCCAAAACTATTTGCCTATTCTTGATCCTTTGCATTTCCATTTTTTTAGGACAGGTTGTCAATTTCTACATTATCCCATCTAACTACAACACAACCCTCAAAGTCAGGGAGTAAACACTGATATATTATTACTATGCCATCTTTGGATCCCATTCAGGTTTTACCAATCCTCCCAATAATGTCCTGAATAGCAAAGGATCTCGTCAGAATCACATACTGGATTAACTGCTTTCTGGAATCGTTCTTCAGTCTTTCCTTGATTTTCATGACCTCTGGGTCACTTTTGACGACTATGGGAGGGTTATTTTTATACACTGTCCCTCGGTTTGGGTGTGTTTGATGTTTCCTGATTAGATTCAGGCTGTGCATCTTTGGATTGGTTGGAATTGGTTGCTTGGGGTGGAGTGTCAGGGAAGCAGAAGAGTGTTCTCTCTTTGTATCCTATCAGGTGACACGCAATTTCGATCAGCCCCTTATTGCTGATATGCACTTGGATCACTTGATTAAGGTGCTCTGTCAGTCTTCTGCACTGTGAAATTATTCTCTTTCATTTTGTAATAAGTAAGTTTGGGTGGGGCTAATTTAAAACCATAAAAATCAAGAGACCATGACAATGACCACTCATTCTTAATACAGGTATGCTGAGATCTTTGTTCCTTTAAAAGGGCTGGAGACATGTAACACCTGCAAATCTTCTGCTGAAGATCCATCTTTCTAAAGAAATCATAGCTCCATACTTTTTGTTTCTATGAAAAAGTAGAACAGTCTTCTTCTTGATGCTTTGAGTGATCTAAGAATGTTGGACCAACATCATCCTGGGCTCACACCTCTAGTCCTGAAGAAGGTGACAGAGGGTTCAGAAGAGTGTGCCCCCCCAACAACAGTCACTTCCCGTGGCTCAGCTGTTGTCAGTAGCAACTCTCTGTGGTACACCCCTGCCATGGGATAACCCTCACCAGCAGTGGGGCCGGGACTCTGAACACTTGAAGAATCTCTCTTAGGAACAGGCCAGGAGCAGGAGAGTATGGAAAATGTCTGACTTCACTAAGCCCTACATTTGGTTGGGAATGAATGAGGAATGTGTGGCACATTCTATCTAGCCAGACCATCTCTTGGTGTCCTGTAATTTCTGTTTCAGTCACAGAAGGAGCCCAAAATAATCTTACTCAAAAAGAGGACAGGGTTCCTGGACTGGCAAACCCTAGAGCACTGCTTTCAAGGAGCTGATCTGGGGGGCACCTGGGAGGGGGCTCAGTTGTTAAGCGTCTGCCTTCGGCTTGGGCTGTGGTCCCAGGGTCCTGGGTTCAAGCCCCACATCGGGCTCCCTGCTCACTAGGGAGACTGCTTCTCCCTCTCCCTCTGCTCCTCCCCCTGCTCTCTCTCTCTCTCTGTCAAATAAATAAATAAAATCTTAAAAAAAAAAAAAAAAGCTGATCTGGTAGAGTGGCAATGTCCCTCAGTAAGTGGAGTACTTACTTCGAGTACCACATTGAATTCAGAGCCCTGGGGAATAACATTTTTGTGAAATCACCAAAAAATATTCCCAAAGGGGACACAGGGCATAGACAGATGAAAAATCATATGGGGCAAAAATCTTAGAGCCACTACAGACAGCAATCAGCCCAGCCTTGAAATACCTAAAGGAATCTCATCGCAACAACTCTGCAGGCTCTGTAATATCCTTCCTGTTTGCATAAAGGATCTGGAGTCTCAGAGAGGTTGAGGAACTCATTCACAAAGCAGTAAGTGATAGGTCCATGTGCTTAGAATTTATTTACAGACAGAATGTAGACATATGAAAAGTTTCATAACTCCAGAGTACTAGAGTACCAATGCTGGAAAGCCCTTAAGGGATGGTTCGCTCATTCTATTGATGGGCAAGCTGTAGCAAGAGACGTTATGTGATTGATCTCAAGTCTCAGAGATGACTAAGAAAAGAGTCAAGAACTGTATCGGGTCTTTGGACATTCAGTCCAAAGCGCTTCCCACCCTCTCCTAGTACATGCTGTCCTTACAATGACATTGCTTTCTCCCTTTTTAAGTTATTAGGCTTTGGAAACTCACACGTGGAGTGCCCATGCCACAAAGGACAATTAAAGAGAAATCAGGTATCTCAAGACCACTGTCATTCTGCTCCGCAGCGGGCACCTGAATGAGTGTCCAGATGGGCCAAACTGACCAGGAGACCCTGTAAATTTGCTTCCAAATGTGCATGTATTATGGGCCATCTAGGCGATCTGCTTATGGCAAAGCACTCCTTCTTGTCTGGAACCAGGAACAAAAGCAGATGCTGGCTTACAGAATTGTTTGTTCCAGGTGCAAATGAAGTAAAGCCCTCTATACAACAAATGTGTAGCACATAAAATATCAAAACATATTCGTTGAATAAGCAAATGATTGCAAAGGGCAGTGGTGGGAGAACTGGGTCTCTAGAGAGCACATAGTTACAGACACATGCCCAGATTAAAAAAACCCTACATATTCTCGAAGCAAGCTGTATTTATATTTCAACAAAAAATATGTCAGTATCGATTTGTATTTGTTCCTATTTTTTTGAGTTTTTAGTTTTATTTTAATTCATGTTTGGGTTATGTTTGCATAAGCACTATAAACATAAAGAGCTTATACCCCATTTTATGTTTGCTTATATTTAAGGGCACAAAAAATTGTCACTGGGGGGTCGAGATAAGATTTGTTTCTTTTTTTTCCCCCTTTAAGATGGAAGGGTACAATATTCAAGTTTGAGAACACCGTCTGTCACGTACTGCTGGCAAATAGTATCACTTTTATACATTTCTTTCCACTCCTCCTCAACCTCTACCCCCAACCAAGCGCTAGAAGCAAGCGACCCTTGAGGCTTCTTACCTGCAGGGCAATTTCCTTCTTCTTGCTGCCCATGGCTCTGCAAAGACAGAAGCCCTGTTAACTTCTGACTCGGGCTGTTCCCAACAGCAGCTTGGAGACAAACCGCTGCAAAGACCAGCAAATCCAGAGCCTCCTTCAGACAAAGCCCCCGTCCCTGTAAAGTAAATATAAGTAGCAGCAAATAAATGCCCCGATGCAAAATGAACACCCCACGGGGGAAGCGGAGCCTGCCGCCCGCAGGGTCGTGGCTTGCCAGGCGGTTTTCCGCAAAGTCCCTTCCCAGCATGGAGTGGGGGAGCCCGGCTACGCGGCCCTTAACGCTTCGGAGCGCCTGCCGAGGAATTCGGGCAGGAAAAGGCATACAACCCTGTTATCCCTACTGTTGCAATATATTCCTAGGAAACTGAGCCGCCGCGAACGATCCCTCGACAGATCCACGGTCCTCAAAGTGCAGCGAGTTTCCAATCTATTCTGCAGTGACCCAGCCACGGTCGTCAGGGCAACACAGCACGGGGCTGGGGGTGGGGGCGTGTTGTCGTCCAGGTAACAAACTTGCTGACGCGTAATCCACGCCCCCGCAAGCCCCGCCCCCTTGCAAGGGGAAGTGTGCCGTAGGGGCGCTCTCGTTGGCTGATGCGTTTGTTAGTGTCCGGGGCATTTAGACTCACTAAGCAGAGACCCAGTGCGCTCAAGTACTGTACAGTCACGTCCCCGAAGCCCTGCATACCTCCAGCCCAACCAGAGCCTGGTGTGCAGCTTTTCTGTTGTTACTTAGTGCATGCCAGGCAGGGGTGGCTCCAGGTTTTGAGGTATCTGAAAGGATTCCCTTTAAGAAAGAACACACAATTATCAATTCCAAATTATGTATGGAAGTCAAGTGGAGCAAATAGAAAACAGTACACATAGCGTGAACAGTTTATAGCAATTAAAAGAGTGTAAATGGATTAAAAAAAAAAAAAACAGAACAAGGCCCAACTGTGTGTCTGTAAGAAATTCACTTTATTTAATTTTTTAAAGTTTTATTTATGTAAGTAATCTCTACCCCCAACGTGGAGCTCAAATTCATGACCCCAAGATTAAGAATCACATGCTCTTCAGACTGAGCCTGCCAGGTGCCCCAAGAAATTAACTTTAAATATAAAGACACAGATAAAGTAAAAATAAAGCGGTGTTGGGGCGCCTGGGTGGCTCAGTGGTTAAGCCTCCACCTTCGGCTCAGGTCGTGATCCCAGGGTCCTGGGATTGAGCCTGCGTGGGCTCTCTGCTCAGTCAGGAGCCTGCTTCATTCTCCCTCTGCTGCTCCGCTTGCTTGTGCTCTCTCACTCTCTGTCAAATATATAAATAAAAATCTTTTTTTTTTAATAAAAATCTTTTTAAAAGTCTTTTTTAAAAGGGAGTGGAGAAAGCTATGCCATGCTAACACTAATCAAAAGAAAGCTGGAATAGTTATATTAACTTCAAGCAAAGCAGACATCAGAGCAAGGAAATTTATCAGTAATAAAGAGAGAGTAATACATAATGTTAAGAGGGAACAGTTCCCCAGGAAGACATAACAATATTTAATGTGTATGCACCTAACAAGAGATCATCAAAACACATGTGACAAAAATGTATAGAATTGTGAGAAAGAAATAGATGAACCCAAAATTTTAACCAATAACTTCAACACCATTTTTTTAAGTGATGACTAAATCCAGCAAGGACATAGTTGAACTGAACAAGAACATCAGTCAACTTGATCTGACGTTTATACAATACTTCATCCAACAACAGCAGAATAAAGATTCTTCTCAAGTGCACATAGAATATTCACCAAGACAGACCACATTCCAGGCCGTACAACCTAACTTAACAAATTTAAGAGAACAGAAATTATACAGAGACTGTTCTAGACCACAGGGGGATTAAACTAGAAATCAATGCCAGCTGATGAAAGAAATCAAAAGGTTTTAAAGAAGTGGAGAGCTATTCCAGGTTTGAGGGTAGGAAAAATGAATCTTCCAAAGATGTCAGTTATTCCCAATGTGATGTATAGATTAAGCACAAATTCAGTCATAACTCTAGTTAGCTATTTTGTGGATACCCACAAATTTATTCTAGAATATATATAAAAAGGTAAAGAGACCCAGAATAGCCAACACAATACTGAAGAAGAAGAATAACGAAGTTGGAAAACTGACACTACTAAACTTCAAGACTTAGCAACACAGCATATTAGTGAAAGAATAGATTCATAGACCAATGAAGCAGAACAGAGCCCAGAAACAGACCCATACACATGTGGTCAACTGTTCTTTGACAAAGGGACAAAGGAAAGTCAATGGGAAAAGGATAGTCTTTTCAAAAAATGGTGCTGGAGTAACTGGATCTGAACACACCTTATGCCTTTATAAAAATTAACTCAAAGGGATCATAGATACAAATGTAAAACTATAAAACTTCTAGAAGAAAACAGGAAAAAAGCTAGATGATCTTGGATTTGGCTTTCTAGACATGACACCAAAAGCATGATCTATGAAAGAAAAAATTATAAGTTGGAGTTCATTAAAATTAACAACTTTTCATGAACTATACTCAAATTTAAAATTTTTTAAATAAATAAAAAATTTTAAACATGTGCTCTGTGAAAGACTGTTAAGAGAATTAAATAGAAATGCTATAAACTGGAAGAAGATATTTGCAAAACATATCTGATAAAGGACTATTATCCAAAACACACAAAACTCTACAAAAAGAAAACAAACAACCCAATTAAAAAATGGGCAAAAGATCTGAACAGATACCTCACCAAAGAAGATATACAGATGAAAAGTAAACAAATGAAAAAAACCTGAACTTCATTTCTCATTAGGGGTTACAAATTAAAGCAATAAGGACATACTTCTACACAACCTATTAGAATGGCTAAAACCCCCCACAATTGATAATGTTGGCTCACAAAAGTTGGTGAAGAACACCAGAGTAGTAGACACTCTTCATTTATTGCTGGTGGGAATGCAAAATGGTATACAGCCACTTTGGAAGACAGTTTGGCAGTTTTTTACAAAGCTAAATGTTGTCTTTTTTTTTTTTTTTTTAATTTGACAGGCAAAGATCACAAGTAGGCAGAGAGGCAGGCAGAGAGAGAGGAGGAAGCAGGTTCCCTGCTGAGCAGAAAGCCTGATGTGGGGCTCCATCCCAGGACCCTGAGATCATGACCTGAGCAGAAGGCAGAGGCTTTACCCACTGAGCCACTCAGGCGCCCCTCCCCCCCCCTTTTTTTTTATCACAAAGCTAAATGTAATCTTATATATAACCCAGCAATGACACTCCTACATGTTTATCCAATTGATTGGAAAACTCAGGTGTACCCAAAAACCTGCATGTAATGTTTATAGCAAGTTTATTCACAATCACCCCAAACTGGAAATAATCGAGATGTCCCAAATAGGTGAATGAATAAGCAAACTTAGGCACATCAATACAGAGGTGTCTGTAAAACACAGAATTGCAGATTGGGTCTACTAAATGCAAGTGATGTTTGTAGCCCCCAAGTGGGGGTTACTCATGCTCTTGAATGGCTTGAAATCTCCCTTAGAACGTTATTTCCAAAATAAAATTCAAATCAGGACACTGAAAAATACTGCTAGGACACTGAGAGATACTTTTTGTTCTTTTTGAAAGGGTTCAGTTTCTCACCATTGGTAGGTCTCCACCATAAAATGTAGTCACATCTTTGCCAAATTAAACCACAGAACAAATTTAGGGCAACTACATGTCTTTATATCCTGACTTTGTAACTGTTGTCCTGTGCAATTATTAATAACAACTCTTTTTACTTTCAAAAGCGTACAGTTTGGACAATATAGAGCCTCCTCAATTTCTCCCAAGTGGATCACCCTGCATTTTGCATCTTGATTTAATGGAAGTTCAATCTTCTACATATTTGATGATTTCCATCAGTGATTAGATTGTGTTGCCTCAAAGTCCTGGCCAAAGGAAGGTGCTTTGTTTGTTTGTTTTGCTTTTGTTTCATACAAAGACTTCTAACTTCAGAGGTTACTGCTGTGTTTTGGTATCTGAAAGACTGAAAAAACAAACAAAAAATCATTCTTTCTTCTGCCAAGTTATGTTTATTGCCGCAAGACCCTTCTGTGATCCAAATTGGATGCCAAGAGCATTTTCTTTATTTAAACATTTAGAATTGTGTCGTGGCTGTGTGAAACAACAATGAACTTACTCACTTTGAGAGCAAATCACAAAACCAAATAGTTTCCAGTTTTTTGTGTTAGCTGATAAGAATGTATACATATTGACACCTCTCTGCTTCCAGATATTATGGTTTCTTTTTTCCATAAATACCAGCGTGTCCTTATTTTGACTGGCTCTGAGGAAGGCAGCTAGGAGTAGCAGAATGGGGAGCATCTCACAGACGTGGTGCTGGAATAACTGTATCTCACAGAGGTGGGCTGGGTCCTGGGACCCACCACCTATCAGCTATGTGAGCCTGGGGACCTTACTTCAACTTCCTCAGACTCAGTTTCCTAGTCTTTTTTTTTTTTTTAAGATTTTATTTATTTATTTGACAGACAGAGATCACAAGTAGGCAGAGAGGCAGGCAGAGAGAGAGAGAGAGAGAGGAGGAAGCAGGCTCCCTGCCAAGCAGAGAGCCCAATGCGAGGCTTGATCCCAGGACCCAGGGATCATGACCTGAGCCAAAGGCAGAGGCTTTAACCCACTGAGCCACCCAGGCGCCCTCAGTTTCCTAGTCTTTAAAATGGGGAGTATAATACCTACATTTTGGAAATGTTGTGGAGAGAGATAACGTCTTCCAAATTTTCTTGGTAGTCAAGCCATTATTATTGCTTGTGGTGTCATCCTCTCTTCACAGCATAGGACCATCGCTGGGAGGAAGCTTCCCTGGTAAGGTTCACAGTGGCTACCCCCAGCCCTGGCAGCCAGATGGAGCCATTCGATTAGTTTTCCTCCATCAGGGTGGCGGGGATGAGTGCTACCTCTGAACCCCCCACACTCTGACCCCGTCTGCAAGCTCC